TGTGGCAATTTAGTATTTTGGTTTACACTTTGGTTGCAGACACAGAATTAGGAGTAACAATATATTAGACTTTCAATTTCCAAGATGCAAAGAGGTCTGCATAACTGGTTATTGATCCAGGGAGTAATTTAAGTGTGTTGGAAGACACACAGTTACCACATGACGAACCTGAGAACTACAAGGCAATTGCGGGTGTCTTTCTGGATATTTAACCCTCCGAGTAGCCACAGGTAGGTTGTTTCCGTATTGGCCAAGCCAAACCGCCAGTTTTGCAGACATTTTCTTTTTTAATCATATAAGTCTAATTATGTTTGGAGCATATCGATGCATAGGCCTACTCGTTTTATTTGCGGCATCAAGGCGAATCTGAATATGCAAAAATAAATTGGATTTGACACATTGCATTTTTCAGTTTGTTTGAAGTTCTGAGAACTAAAAAACTAAAATGTTCTGAGTGAAATTTCAAAAGTAAGTTGTGGTGATCAAATGGGCCTGCAATTTTTTAAGCAAAAATCATTATATAAACATTGTTTCAAATTTTATTGCCTACATAAAAAGGCATAACACATTGGCTATAGAAAAGATTTTTTTTAGTCTTGTGCTATTATTTATGGGAAATAAGAAAATGTTACATTTTGACCGCATGATTTTACTTTGGAAATGGGTCAGATACGATAAGTGTATATTAAAGGCACTAATATAGGCCTACTAATATATAGGCTAAGTTTATATACGGTACAGAGTTAGGCAAAAGTCTGAACCCCCCAGGTAACTTTTTTTGGAGGCTGGGGCAAAGTTGTAGCTTTGATGAAAAAGTGCAATTTCATATGATGTAAATATGTGCCGAGTTTGGTTTTCCTACTGCAACGAGTTAAAAAGTTACTTGGGGGGTTACAGACTTTTGCCTAACCCTGTATATTAAGGCTATGAACTCTGATGAATATTAGTAAGCCTATACACTAAATTTTGCAAAAACAAGGAATCCTACGTTTATTCGAACAAGTTCTCAAACCTTCGTTAACGGACCGTGGAACGAGGTTTATGGGGTTAAGAAAATTTTTAGGGCTAGGTATATATTGATAAGCACTTGACCTGGAGTATGTGCATTCAGTCGGTAATTGGAAAATTAAATTCAGCCTGTTTTCAAATGTCATGCTTAAGAAATTCTATAGGCCTAGACATGAAAACTTCTGTCATGCTCTATTATGCTTACTTTTATTCAATAGTACAGTATGAAATTGAATTTTGGGAGTTCGCCTCTGAAATTGAAAAAGTTTTTAAAATAAAAAAAAAGTGTATAAGAATTATGACTCTTTTACCATGGAAATCTTCGTGCAAAACAGTTTTTAAAGAATTGAATATTATGACTATTCTAAATTTGATTATTTACAAAACATTGTTAGCGGTGCATTCAAATTTTGATGACTACATTAGCGAAAACTTTGACCACATATAGGCTATAACACTAGATTTAAAAATAATTTCCAATATCCGAGACACCAACTGAAGCTTGTAGAAAAAACACCTAAATACATGGGAAAAAAACTTTTTAATAAACTACCCTCAACTCTAAGAAATTTAATTAATAATAAATCTTTTAAAAGCAGCCTTGCTAATTTTCTGATTACAGTGTTAATGATTACCTCAATGAAACTAACCAATCAATATGACTCTATTTAGTATGACATAGAAACTAATTTTTTTTTTCTGTCATCGTTTAACAAATTTTGCCAACTTGTTTACAAACATTTTTTATGCATAAGACATATTGTACATTAGGTTAAGTTAGTAATAATCTTGACAATGTCATATATTGGCATATATTGCCAATATATGCCTATACTAGTGACGTCATTTTACTTCACTACAAATAAAATACAAAACAAAAATAGCCCACTCATTCATACGTGTTGCGTAGTGCTATTCTGCTACACCGTCGCCATCACGAGTTCAGGTTAAGTGAAGAGAGTAACATGGTTGATGAGAAGATTGAGAATAACATCGTTGACTAAAGATAATAACATCGTTGTAGAAACATATCAAGTGATTCTATAGTCAATAATGTTTTCTACAATAGGAATTTCGTCACATTATGGAGATATAGATGGAATAATATGGACTAATTACTCGTAGTTCTTATTTAGGCATGTCAGGGTGGTAGGTCGTGCTTTATGCGAATTGGTGACTGCATTAAGTGTTTTGAAGTTAGGTTAGATTAGGAAGGTAAAGTTTAGGTTATAATGTATCGAGTTGTTAGTTTATGTCACCTGCAGACTGTTTTTGTAAACGCAGAGGATACGCGTCCGGTAACAGGACGTGGATTAGGCGTCCGGCAGTTACTGTCATAACCTAACCTAACCAACCAAACTTGCTGATAATGAAAAAAATCAAATGAAGGTTCAATTCTCTTCATAACATAAAATTATAAATGCCAAAAATTCTAACAAAAGATGTACAGTTAAGAAAAAATTACATTCAAAGCAAAATCTGTGACAAAAAGTTAAAGAAACCAATGGGTTTCGAACCAGGGACCTCTTGGATATTAGCCGAGCACTCTATCCACTACACCACGAACAACGCTGGCCAAACATTGTATCGTTGTGGTACTGGCGTTCTGGGACCCCACAACCCGGTGACGTCACTACCGGACGCCTAATCCACGTCTGGTTACAGGACGTGTATCCTCTGTGTTTTGTAAAATTAAAATCCTGATTAAAAACACTTCAAATTACTATTTCAAAAATGCTTGCATGATGATGATCTACTCTTGGAAAACTCTCCGCAAAAGTTACAGCATTCCAACACATTTAAGTTATGTTAATTCAGGTCAGTAAGTTATAAATTTAAAATGCAGATAGTTAGGAAAGGATGATTTAGTTGTCCCAACGAGGCAGGTTTTTGTTAACTAATACAACATGGTCCTCTCTTCTGGACTTTTAGGTCCCAGAATTTCTTTAGAACATCCTCATAGAAAACAATAATTTGACCAGCTTATGTTATCAATAGCCTATTATTTAATAATACTACTTCAAAAAACTAATAATATACTATGCGTTTGGCTCTGTAGACAGATATTCCCGACAGTAGATTAATAATAAATAAATGCCGACAAGATTCCCAGCCAACGAAACCGGCTCAGTTACAAATTTCTTTAGTATAAATCAGTACTTACTGTCGTTGAAGTTTTCTTCGAAATGCACTTCAGCACTGATCTGGGATACAGCTAGAAAACCTAACAACGCGTAAAAGTACATTTTTATTTCTTTAAAATCCTAATTCATACAACCTTCTCAAACGACAATCGGTTAATGATAAATCGACAAGAGAGAAAACTTACTGCTGCAACGACAACTGAGGCAGACAGATGGAATGCTCCTATTCGTCAGAATATCTGACCAATAGAAGCCCACCACGCTCGGGAAGCGTTTGAACAAAGAGGTGTTTTATTATTACTCTACATACTAAGTAATATGAAGTCAGAACATATATTAATGTCTCACTGGTTAAAAAAAATGTCACATTTGAGCGAAACTCTTCCAAAATACTGAATAATTGTATTCTAACGATCAGCTCGGCACTACAATAGAAAACTGCCACTACTGTGAACTTCTTTTCTTATCCATTTGTAAAATCTTTCATTTGTTTCGCTGTGTTTTTCATGGATGCTTCCGTCTCATGTCTGGTAACGCTAAAGTAAGTTTTGAATAAGTATAAATAATTTGAAAATTTTGATGTAGTGTTAGAGGATATGTATTTTAGTAATTAATTTACATCGTAATATTTTGTCATAATAATTTTAATGATCGTAAACCAACTTATACTGTATACAATATCATCATGTCAAACATACTCTCTTAGTAGATTTGTCATCCTCATAGATCAGCTGGACAGTTTTTAGTTCTGTCCGGTGCACTAGAGGGTGGGGCAGGTGGGCCAGAGCCCCGGGTCTCTGAAGGGGGCCCGGCCCGACTAAATGTAAAATCTTGTCTGCTAAATGTAGGCGTTTAGTAAATTTAATCTGCTACATTTAATCTGATAAAGTCAAAACTTTTACTATGCTTTACCAGTTCACTGAGTTTTTTTTAATTTTTTTATTTTAATTGTTTATGTCATGTCATGACAGTGAATAAAGTTGCAACTGTGAGCACAAGAATTAATCAAATTACGGGCGTGACGGGCATCGGTAAAGGAATCGACTTTTAACGATCGATTCTCGGCACCGATACCAACGTCCAAGCTAAGTATCTGTGGTATCGAGAATCGAGACATTCTAATACGATTTTTCCCCTTCCACGGCCACCCGATGCTACCTGGTTACGGGGCGACCGCCCCACCCTCGTCTTTGTTCTAACGCCGTATTACTGTCAAAGACAAATGTTGTGTTCTCTTGGTTTTTATTTGTGTAATTATTTTATCACTTTACTAACAATATAATTATAGCCAATGCTATAATATAAATTGATTGTTTCTATAGGAAAAAAACTATCGGTGGTTTTCCAAAACAGTTGTATTGCCTATGTTTTCTCACTTCGTCAAATAAGTTATACAGCTTATAAATAAAAATAATAGTACTAAAATAACATTTTAATTTATTCCATGGTTTATCCTACGCAATTGTCCTTGTCTAATGCGTTTGCCTTGACTGCGATTTTGACAGTAAATTTTAACTAAACTCTACTAAAGATCTATCTATATTGCATTTACAATCGAAATTAACTATACCAATTCATTGCTCGGCCCCCTGATACTCATGGTAAATACAATAAACCTATAAACCTCGTTTTTCAAGGTGCACACAGTTTATATAGTGTGAATTAATTCTGCAAAATTATGTCCATTATGTACTCGCTCGACTCCAGTCCGAGACGTCGCGTCGTTGCCATAGCAACAACAGCAATTCAATCCAAACCAAACCATAACAATCCACTTATCCAGCCCAGCGGAGCGGCCCTAGATGAACTTACTTTTATGCTTTTATAGAGGTTAGATAGAAATACTTTTATAGTTAGTTACCTCGGTGCGGTACGTAAATACAATTGAAGTTAAAGCAGATTATTATTAAGGTGTTTGGTTATGTAAAAATAGAATCCATTTACCTTTTATCCTACAGAATACAGTACTGTAGTATACTGTACTTGGAATTTTTAAATATGAGAATGAGCAATATAAGTAACTAAATAATTTTAAGTTACCAGTTAAAAGGTGCATATTGTTAGGAGCTGTGCCAAGAACATTTTAAAGTAGGCCTACCTATTTTCAATATAATAAACTTTTATCAATCATCATTCATGGCTTTTTTGTGTAACTTATAGTATAACTTAGGTGTTCTTTTTCCCATAGAGAATAAGCTATTACCTTAGGTCTCATGGTAAGACCAGGACCCGGAACCGATTTACTTTTTCGTTTTGAGTTCCCCAGAGACCAAAAATACCATCCGTTAAAATTCATATATATATAAATATTAATTACGTAAGCCGATTCTTTGCGTAAAAATTGTGGCCGACTGAGAAGTCGTAGAATGACGGGAGAGGGCTCAAATTAAAGGTATCAATCCTGTGACAGCGGGAAAAGTAGTGAAATTCCCAAAATTTTAACATAAAATTAGAATGTAAAACGTTCTCCATAAGAATAACATTGGAAGCCATACGCAGCTGATTTTTGTTTACTTTATAAGTTGATCGCGCTATATTTCCAAGCCAGTATTCAATACACTCAGTTGGTTTACTTCATAGCCAGTTAACTCTACAATGCACTGTATACTATATTAAAACCAGGTATAACGTTATCTATAGCCTAATTGAGACTTTTCGAAAACCGAACCAATGATTTTCGTGTCGATTGTCAATATTGGCTTCGACAACTGGGAAATGAAACCCTAAAACTATATAATATTACTAAGTGTGGCTAATAAAACTGTTCATTTTGTATAGTACTTATTTACTTCCCTAAAGTTTCATCTAGATCAGATGGTCGTTTTGCATAAAAAACAAACATTGGATTTCATAATATGCCTTGGATTTCAAAGAAAACAAAAACAGAGCGACTTTTTTTGACAAAGATGGTGTACAGGCATATCCATCTTGACAAATAAATAATTTGATTCTTAGTTTGTTTAAATTAAAATAAGTTGTGTTACATTTAGAGCTATTTAGGGACTTATGTCATAAATATATATATGTCCGTTAGCACGATAACTCGAGCAAAAATGATCCGATTTTGATGAAATTTGGTATAAAGGTGTAAACTTACATTTATTTGAATAAGCTTATTCGAATAGTGAACCAGCATGATCGGACTATGGAAACGTGGCTTTATGGGGTAAAAATCAGGTTTTCTCATTTTTACAAAAAAAAATATATAAAATTTAGAAATTTATTTCCAAACCATTTTGTAGAGCATGAAAAACAAATAATTTTGTATATTGAAGTGTTATTATGCGCCTAATGGGAGAAAAACAATGTTAAATTCCCATGATATTCTATGGAGAATAAGTAAACTGTAAAGTTGTAGTTCCTTGTATATTAAAAATTTTTTATCAAATTTGGAAAATGAATTTAATTTCAACCTAACTATTAACATTTTACAAAAAAACACTCTTTTACCCTCCCTGTTGCAGCAAACCTAAACACTCGTCAAACTAATTCTACCATTTGAATAGGTTGTAAAACTGGTAATATTTTTAAGGAGACATTTTAGTGTTAATCCAATCAGGCAAATGGAAATTCACTTAGTCTGCAGATTTGCTGCGTCGGGGGTATTTTATTTTGTGTGTGTTTTTTTATGGTCCAAACCCTGGTCATTTTATTATCCAACGTCGACCTTTTTGTTAGTAATTCATAGCTCAATGTGGGCTATGTCATAACAAATGTTGTCTGTGTCTGGAAATGATCTAGCTTGGGGATTTTTTAGGATTTCTTCTTTGGGAAGCTTTCTTCCCAGTATTTTAGGTGAAAATTTGATACCCAACCCGTATTATTGTACATAAGTTGAAAGTATCAATTCAATCAAATGCCATATTGAACTGAAACAAGTACCCGACTTCCATATCAATTGTTCACTGGTTAACTAGATTTGGAATTAAAGAAATGGATGTGTATTTTTTGTTTTAGTTTCAAGAACTTGTTGATAAGAAAGGAACAGCTATGAGTAGGTACAAAGTGTCAGCGGTTAAAGAAAGACTTTCAAGGCTCACTGAAAAATATTCAAAAAGTTTAAAACAAGAAGATTCCGAAAACAGCACTTTAAATAACAGTCTTACTCCTAAAGAAAGTGGAAGCAGTTCTGAAGATGTGAAAAACTTTCAAAGGCATATTACAACTTTCAATGATCCTACTATTTCTCCAAAGATTGATTATAACGTTTCAAGTTATAGTTTACAAGAGGAGTCTATCAGAGAAACTTCCAATGTTCATGATGTGCAGCAAATTTCTAGCCAAAAAACCAACAGTTCTAAAGTGTATAGTAAAGTTACCAAAATTGATGGTGAAAATTCTGTGAATAAATCAGTTTCATCAGAAAGTATTGTGCTTTCAGACCTGTCTAATCAGTTTGAACGAATCTGTTTTATCTCCAGTTCCAGCAGAGATCTTAGTGATGTTGAGAGCGAAAAAAATCAATCTAGATCAATATCTACTAAGATTAGTTTACAAGAAAATTCTGATGATGTTGAAGAGTTTCCCGAATCTGAAAAAAATTCTAAAACATTTCACAGAAGTAAAAAGGATTCATCCTCCATGTCCTTGGCTCAGGTAAATGATTCAGAAATATCAAGTTTAGAAGAGCTGGTGAATTCTGAACCTGAAGTAGAAAATATCTACGATAAGCCCCAAATGTCCATGATGGACTCAAAACAAAGAATCCATGATAATATTGGACCCAACAACATTGAGTCCAGTCCTATGACCAATGTTTATCCAACTAAAACAATCAGTCCTCTTAGTAATAAATTTAGCAAAGTAAGTTCAAATCTAAAATCTCCTTTGAGTAGTCAAATTGATAAGACTTCTACTGCAGCAAATACAGATAGTTCAATAATACAACCTGAACCGACTGTGAATGATACATCCAACAAAAGCACATCTTGCGACTATAGCCAAAATGATTTAGACGAGAAGAGAAATAGTACTTCAGACATTCAGTACTCGTTCACAAAAGGTCTGTACATCCGAAAAGAAAAAGATCATTCGCCACACAGGCCTATTGATTGTAAAAATAAAAGTACAAACACCGACCCTGTTAAAATCATTACAATAAATAAGTCTACAAAACATCAAGAAAAGAAACATAAATATGTGAAAAAATCAGAAACGAATGTAGACAGACGTAAAAGTAAAAGACCACAAGTTGATCATGATGTAAGTCTAGAGAAGCTCAAGAACAGAATTTTGATTAAACCGTGTCAACTACTTACCCTTGATGAAATAAGAAATACACAACTCAAGAGACAAAACAACCAAGATTCTCACTGGTTGAGAAATGGCTTGACACAAGATTACCATTGTTTCTCCACTTCAGCTCAAACGTTAGGTAAATAAACTTAATTAAATTTACATTGCTAGACATACCAAAAAGTTAAATTTTGTTAGACCATTTTAAGTTTATTGCCCTTCCTCTGAAGAATTTGGAGGATAATTTATCAAATATAGTAATATACCATTAATAATAATAATTAATAGGCCTATTAAAAATGCACTGGTCTACCAAAATGCCTCTGATTTGTTTCAACAACTTACAAGTTGTATTTTTCTCCTTCCAAAAAGATTATTAGATGTGTATTTCCCACTGAATCAAAATAATATTGGTTTTTTTTTAGGTTTTTCATATTTAAATTGTGTTAATGGCTAGATTCCTTAAAATACATAAATTCCTTAAAATACATCCAATTTATTTTCAGATATGAAGCAAGAAGATATTATTACTCAGCTGCTGAAGAGTCAAATACAATTAACGAGGCATTTTATAGAAAGCCACCAGCACATGTATCTTCAAGTTTATCAGGCTGCTCAGCTGTTGAATGAAAATTATATACATTATTAGTTTAAAGGTTTCATACATTCAGGTTGAATTGCCAACTTTATGTAAAGCTTCAGCTTATAAAAGTATTCATGACCAGTTATTGAATTACCTTGTAAATAAAGTAGAAATTGACTGTTCTTTAAAATTGAGAATCATTTGAGTGTGTCATGTAATCCCTCACAATTCTTAAAAAAACTCAATTTTATTTGTCCATGAATCTAGTAGAATACTAGCAGAGTACCCGTCCTTCGTCCGGGGTTGATTTATGTTTAAATGGTGCTTTTTGAAATCTGAAGTGAAAAACCGTGTGAAATAAAATTAAATTCCAATAAATATACCTATCAAAAACTTCTAACTTACTAATTACATTAAAAACATTTTCAACAACAATGTTTATGTCAAGGGTAGGCTAAGTTAAGAGGCACTTGGTTGAAAATAATATACATGTAATGACCATGAAACGCTCGTAAAAAGTTATTCATTATTAGATTATAATGTGAAATCTACAGGAAGTGTCAAAAGTTATAATATAGATAGGTAGTAGTTACCTCTGGATTAAAAACATCATAACTTATCTATGGGTAGTAATATGAAATAATGATTTACAAATTTGTGAAAAGGTAAATGGTGTGAACAATATTTCTCTCAAAATGGCAAAAATACACAATTAAATATTTCCTTGAGAAAAAGATTCAATTTTTAATGTGTGTCCTACTCTAAACACATGTTAAATGTTCAACAATGTTAAAATGATTCAAGTAAATGTGAACTTTATAATTTCACTATTTTTTACACAAAAATCTTTCAAATACAATCATTCACATTAGCAAAATTTTAAATAATAATTAGGGTTAGATACAGCAATAGATATACAATCTGACTTATTTCATAAAACCAATAATGAATGAACCATCAAAAATAAGAATAAATAAACATGTCACACGATTATAGATAATATTATATGCCTATTTATAAAGCAGCTGAGGAATTGTGAATTAATGTGGTTTGACAGTTCAGCTTGTTTACATTTGGATGGCATAGCAAATTGCAAACATTGTATGTGTTCTCATGGCAGCCATGGAGACCAATCAATATTTACTTTTAAAATCCTCGCCTCAGAACTTTTAAAGCCAAAGGGGCAAAGCCCACGGTCAGTATCAAAGTGTGAATAGTCCTATACAGGGACGTATTTAAGTATCTGCCGCCTCTAGGCAACAAAGTTTGCCGCCGCCCCTCCCGCTCCCACTTTTCAACGCACTCCACGACCTCACTAATATCACCCCAATGGCCAATACATGCCCTGTCAGCTGGTTTTGTGGAAAAATAATCGGTAATATTGCATGCTGCATCAACAAATTTAATAACTTTTCACCACACTATGATGTTTTTAGCTGTTTTACATGCGTTAATTGGTGGCTGAAAGTTACGTTTTGCTGGCCATGCCAAGCTGTCATCGTCATTTGGGGACCGAGCAGGTTCTTACATTCCTAGGGCCGCAAAATCAGCTGATCGCGATCGCTTACTTTTTTAAACATGAATGCATATTAAATACACAATCAGTATCCATAGCATTGCAATAGAATTGTTTTATTTTCACCGCTGCCTAGCAACTACTTATTTTAATTTTGCTGATTCCTCAAATTATTTCTTCACATAACCTTAAAGTTATAGTTGTGTTGACTATCAGTGTGCATCATTATTGTGGTGAATAGTGCTATTAAGGTATAGTGTGGTGGAAAATGGCGTTCGTACCACGGACCGAAATGGTTTTGCAGCTCTCGATCGTTTTAGGTTGACTTCGTCTCGAACCTAAAAACTATCTCGAGCCGGCGAAACCTCATTTTCGGCCCTAGGTACGAAATATACTATTTCGACCCCTTTTAACGGACGTTTTTTGTGCGGTTTTTTTGCAAAACATTCTGACTTGGATAGGCCTAAACGGAATGCACCATTTTTTTATCTAATCAGTATTTTTACAATCCCATTTTGCGGTTTTAAACGGTACACAAAATCGTCTGCATACAATGGTTCTTATAACGCTTTTCATTAAACACTATTAGTCAGATCCACTTGAGAGACGTGCTATTGGCTTTGATTTGAAATGAAAGAAATATGTTTTCTTAAACTATTTTTTTCTTACAAAAAAAACACATGAATTGCAAAGAAAAATTACGTACTTTTACTGAAAGAATAATATACAATTTTAAATTAGTTAAGTTTGGTACAGTGGTAAGTATTTAGTTCACACTTTCCTTCTTGATTTTAACCTAGCAAAAGAATCTTTCAGCTATAGTGCTGCCACTGCGTAGTGGTGTATGAAGTAAACAGAAGGGAGTGTTTTCTACGTTTGTCACTAGACATAGCGGCCGGCACGGCGACCCGCTCCCGCGGCGAGCGTGTCTGCCAGACCAATAGGGCAGCACGGACAACTCTACACAGCTGTGTAATAAACTATTGACGTTTGTTTGACTTGGATGCGTTCTGAAATAGTTGTATACTTAATCAAAATATTTGAAATGGCTATTTTGCCGTTCCCAAAATTATTTGCTAAATTTTTTTTTAGATTAAAACTTCGTTTTTTTATTTGTTTACCCTCAAAATTTTGCCGCCCCTAAAATTTGCCGCCCTAGGCGGGCGCCTAGTCCGCCTATTCGGAAATATGTCCCTGGTCCTATAATGGTCCTTGGTATGGTAGGCATAGCTATATTTTTGTTAAATTTAAGCCCAGTCAGTAGTTTATGCGCCTATTAGTAACACACATAACTTACAGACACACTAGATATATACAGGGTGATTGATATAAGTGTGCCAGCCGTTTTATTCGAAAACTATAAGAGATATCAAAAAGATTTAAATGGTAAGTGCCTTGGATTTTTTATTTAAAAAATTATAGTCAAGTCAAAAAAATTATTTTAGCCGCCATTTTTCCAATATGGCCGCCAACTTTGATTTTTCTTACTGAATACCCTGTATTTTATGATGTATTCTGGTAGAAAAAGTAATTTTAAGACGATTTTATTTTTGTGATTTTTTTCATAAACCTAACCGTTTTAAAGATAATAATGGTTAAAGTTTTGAAATTTCTGCATGAGAAAGAGTTTCGAAGCAAGCATGCCAGCTGTTTTGCTCGAAAACCATTCAAAATTTCACAACTTAAACCATTATTATCTTTGAAACGGTTAGGTTTATGAAAAAAATCACAAGAATAAAATTGTCTTAAAATTACCTTTTCTACCAGAATACATCCTAAAATACAGGGTGTTCCATAAGAAAAATCAAAGTTGGCGGCCATATTGGAAAAATGGCGGCTAAAATAATTTTTTTGACTTGACTATAATTTTTTAAATAAAAAATCCAAGGCACTTACCTTTTACATTTTTTTGATATCTCTTATAGTTTTCGAATAAAACGGCTGACACACTTATATCAATCACCCTGTACACAGGGTGAGTTTCTACTGACCGTGTTAACTTCGCCAGTGGGTTCTACTCACTAAAAGGAACAAAAAAGTTCCTATAAACCCATGTCCGATTTTCGACCGTTTGGCTGTTTTGGGGGATTTTGTGTTTTTCTTATTTTATTAGACTTTGCTCCACAATTTATGTAATAAAAACTTAATCAATTACTTTAGAGAGTTGTAGTTAAAATCACTGGAAAAAAAATTAAATTTGCTATAAATCAAAGGTTTCATTCAACAATTATACCATTACATAGTCCACGTTATATCCAAAATAAAGTAAAAATGTCATTAAATTAATTAATTACGATAACTTTCATGAGCCTCCTTTGATACATAAACCTGCATTTATGCAATGTTGAAATGCATAAAAAACTTGGCATTTTAATAATCTTTCAAATGATATGCTATTCAATACTATTATTGATGTAAACCAGTGAGAAATTACTAATAAACTACAATAAAACACGGTTTACAGATTTTGTTTTTGCACAGTTTTACTGTTAATAACAATTACTGTATTCATCATGTTGGCATAATCTTGATTGGTAAAAGGCTCCATATTTTAATAAATGTTGAAAAACTCTTAATTGACTTGGAAATATAAAGTTAAAACAGCAAATTACTCAACAAGGTATGTTCAAGCAGCTGAGTTATCTAGCTATAGATGACAAATCAATAAAAGCTTACTTAATCAAGCACAAGGTAAAACTAATTACACAGCATTTAAGAATCAAACACACTACATCTTTGAATACCCCGCCGCAGCAAACCTGCAGACTAAGCGAATTTCCATTTGCCTGATTGGATTTAGACTAAAATGTCTCCTTAAAAATATCACATTTATTCCCTATATAGAATCAGTTTAACACATACTTAGGTTTGCTGCAACAGGGAGGGTAAAAGTGTTTTTTTATGTAAAATGTTAATAGTTAGTAAGAAATAAAAACATTTTCCAAATTTGGGCAAAATATGTTAATAAACAAGCACACTACAACAGTTTACTTATTCTCCATAAGAATAACATGGGAATTTTAAATTAACAATTTTTTGGAATTTTCTCCGTAACCATTAGGCGCATTATAACGCTTCAATATACTAAATTATTTAGTTTTTTTAAGCTCTACAAAATAGTTTGGAAAGAAATTTCAAAATTTTATGTTTTTTGTGTCAAAAATAGGAAAAACCCATTTTTACCCCATAAAAGCCCCCATAAACCCCTGTTCCCATGGTCCGATCATGCTGGTTCGCGAACTCGTTCGAAAAAACGTAGGTTTACACGTTTGTAGCAAATTTCATCAAAATCGGATCATTTTTGCTCGAGTTATCGCGCTAACGGGCACATATATATATATATAAATATATATATATGTGTGAATTTGAACGGATGGTGTTTTTGGCCTCTAGGGACCTCAAAACGAAAAAAAAATCGGTCCCGGGTCCAGGTCTTACCATGAGTACTACGGTAATAGCTTATTCCCTATATGGGAAATTCGCTAAAATGTGAAAAACCTTGAGTTTATACATTTTAGCGAATTTCCCTATAGGGAAGTAGCTATTACCGTAGGTCTCATGGTAAAACCTAAGCCCGGGACCAATTTACTTTTTCATTTTGATGTCCCCAGAGGCCAAAAACACCATTCGTTCAAATTTTTATATATCTATATATAGAGATATATATATATATATATATATATATATATATGTGTGTGTCCATCCGCACGATAACTTGAGTAATATTTGTCCGATTTTGATAAAATTTGGTTTGAAGGTGTAAGGCGGGATAAACTTGAATGAGTTCGCGAACCAGCATGATCGGACTATGGGAACGGGGGTTTATGGGGGGTTTTATGGGGTAAAAATAGGTTTTTCCCATTTTTGACCGTAAAAACATGAAATTTCACAATTTCTTTTTAAACCATTTTGTAGAGCTTAAAAAAACAAATAATTTGGTATATTAAAGCGTTATTATGCGCCTATTTGTTACGGAGAAAATTCAAAAAAATTGTAATTTTGAAATTCCCATGTTATTCTTATGGAGAATAAGTCAACTGTTGTAGTTTGCTTGTTTATGAACATATTTTGATCGATTTTGGAAAATACTTTTATTTCTTACTAAACTATTATCAATTTATAAAAAAAAACTTTTTTATCCTCCCTGTTGCAGCAAACCTAAGTACTCGTTAAACTTATTCTATTTAAATAGGAAATAAATGTGCTATTTTTATGGAGGCATTTTAATGTAAATCTAATCAGGTTAGTGGAAATTCGCTTAGTCTGCAGGTTTGCTGCGGCAGGGGTATTATTAATTCAGATAATTTTAATAAATATTTAAAAGTTAAAATAATGTACAAATTTTATCAGATAGTTCAGTAATAGCTATTTACATTACAAGTGTAGTAAGAGCGTTTTTACATCACGCAGGTGAAAGTTGTGCAACGAGCGAAGCGAGTTGCATAATTTATCTAAGTGATGTAAACACGCTCTTGCGTAACGTGTAACGTACAAGATTTTACCTGACCCGACAATATACAGGAGGTTACGAACAATATTTTTCATTACCCATTTCACTCATCTTATAAGGGTCTGACTTAGGGGAGGTACGAATGAGGCATTAGTTCAAAATTCCTCCGTGAACAGCGCTGTAGTAGAGAGCACTTTGGCAATGAAGGTTTACTAATACTAATCGCAAAAATCGTTCTGTTCATAAAATAAAATTATAAATGCCTCAAATTCAATTTTATAATTTTTAAAATATAAAATTAAACTATCATAACCTAACCGAACTAACCAAACTTGCTGATAATTAAATAATATAACAAATGTTTAGTAATGAAAAAATAATTCTGTTTATTAAATAAAACTAGAAATTGCTAAATTAAAATTTTATAATGACTTATTATAAAATTAAACTGTTATAACCGAACCAAACCAACCAAACTTGCTGATAATGAAAATATCTTGGACAAAAAGTTAGTGCTACCAGCGGGATTCGAACCCGGGACCTTCAGCATATCAGCCCCGCACGCTGACCACTAGACCACCGAGGCCGATGGTCACTGACCGTATTGTTTCGGTAATGGCGTTCCTTCAGCTAATAAGAAGTCCACAGCTGTCATCGTAGCCTCTTCTGTACCTCCCCTGAGTAAATACCCATCTTATAACAGTAAGGTTCATTTACAAACAAAAGCTAGGTTAGGAAAATTCTTCAAAACATAACAATAAAATTCAAGCACACAGCTGATTTCTAGCGTTAAACGTCGTTGGCTCCATAGAGTTATATTTTTTAAGTTATCCACTCAATGTTATTTAAATGGGGTTCATTACATCACCGAGTGAGTTTTTTGATACTTTACATCACTTGAGAAGTAAGGAAGTTGTATACATCACGCTTAGGATAGGGAAGTTTAACATGGCGGGTTAGGTAAAATACATCATGGAGTATACAGTAATTATTATTAACAGTAAAACTGTGCAAAAACAAAATCTGTAAACCGTGTTTTATTGTAGTTTATTAGTAATTTCTCACTGGTTTATATCAATAATAGTATTCAATAGCATATCATTTAAAAGATTATTAAAATGCCAAGTTTTTTTATGCATTTCAACATTGCATAAATGCAGGTTTATGTATCAAAGGAGGCCCATGAAAATTATCGTAATTAATTAATTTAATGACATTTTTACTTTATTTTGGTTATAACGTGGACTATGTAATGGTATAATTGTTGAATGAAACCTTTGATTTATTGCAAATTTAATGTTCTTTCCAATGATTTTAACTATAACTCTCTAAAGTAATTGGTTAAGTTTTTATTACATAAATTGTGGAGCAAAGTCTAATAAAATAAGAAAAACACAAAATCCCCCAAAACAGCCAAACGGTCGAAAATCGGACATGGGTTTATAGGAACTTTTTTGTTCCTTTTAGTGAGTAGAACCCACTGGCGAAGTTAACACGGTCAGTAGAAACTCACCCTGTATATATATATATATATATATATATATATATATATATGTGTGTGTGTGTGTGTGTGTCCGTTAGCGCGATAACTCAAGCAAAAATGATCCGATTTTGATGAAGTTTGGTACAAACGTGTAAACCTACGTTTATTCGAACGAGTTCGCGATCCAGCATAATCGGACCATGGGAACGGGGGATTATGGGGGGGTTTTATGGGGTTTTCCCATTTTTGAACCTAAAAACAAAAAATTTTGCGATTTCTTTCTAAAACTTTTTGTAGAGCTTAAAAAAACTAAATAATTTAGTATATTGAAGCGCTGTTGTATGCCTAACAGTCACGGAGAAAATTCAAAAATAGTGTAATTAAAAATTCCCATGTTATTCTTATGGAGAAAATGAAAATTGTTGTAGTTTACTTGTTTATGGGTATATATTGATAAAATTTGACAAATTTATTTATTTCATCCTATACTATTGATGTATGGTCAAAAAACACTTTTTACCTTCTCCGTAGCAGCAAACCTAAGCACGTGTTAAATCTTATGTTATTTAAATAGTGAATAATATGTCTTATTTATGGAAATATTTTAGTAAAAGTGTAATCAGACAAGTTGAAATTCGCTTAGTCTGCAGGTTTGCTGCGGCGGGGGTATTATGCCTATCTTACAGAACTATCTAGTCAGCTCTCAGCTGACAGCTGTGGTTTGGTTAAAGGGTAAAGCTGAAAGCTCCGCCACCATCTATCTATAACACAACTAACAGATGGATGGAGTGAGAAAAGAAGAGAAGAAGACAGAAGACTAAAAAAGAAGAAAATGTTGGTTGGACGGACGGAGGGGCGAGAGGGCAAACAGCAGACGACACGTTCCAATTTTTACTTGACTTTTTACTATCTTGGCTAGCAATATTATTTTACTTAGAACTAGGTCCTGTATTCCTTCAAAATGGGCGTAATGCTTTCAGCTAGTTACAACCGTATTGTACATCCAGATGTAACTCCAGAATTTAATGCGGCGTCAAAGTTTGATCCACTGTATGGATTCCGTGATGGAAGAGAGGAAAAAGGTAACATTGTAGATAAACTTAAACATTGATAGCTTCCCGTCAGTTTTAACGCTTTTATTCATGATGGTCAAAATGAAGAATAGGCCTAGTTGATAAAAAAGTTAATAACTAATCTTTTTTAATGTCTAAAGAAAAATGCCTGTTTTGCCCCGTATTTTTTACGTTGGCCCAATCTAGGCCTGCCAAAGACCATTCCCTTATATTGTAATTAAGGTTAGACCCTAGGCTAGCCATATTTAAATTTGTTAAATTATGTTGGCTAGATTTTATAGGCTAGGTGTATAGATACAACAACCGTAGGCCTACAATATTTTGAGTTAATGATTGATTCATTCAAGATAGGTTAGATCACCAATGTACCTACCTATTTCAACCAGTATAAACAAAAAAAACAATATAGCCTACGTTAACTTGGTGAGCATATTTTTGTACAAAAACGCCGTGTACTATCGGTTCAATATCGAAATACTAAGTATCGATATTATTTCGGATCAAATGGGTTTGATTCAATCAGTTGATGGTTGAATGAATGTAATGAACACCATACCGAAATACCTGAAATACCTCCTCTTCATCGTTGACCAGCCTGGGCCGGATAGATAGCGTCAAAATAATTAAAAACTACTATTTACAATTTTACAATTAAATAAACATATATTTAAAATATACTGACTGCGCAGCGGCGGTGGATGCTTATGCTAGCGACAGTGTTGTTGAGGTTTCAAAAAATCCTTCAATTGAGTAAAATGGATTTGCTAGGAGAAGTTCCTTTAAGTTCTTGGTGAAAACCTTATCTTCCATGTTTACTAAACATTTTGGCAGGGCATTAAACATCTTAACAGCAACCTGCGGGAAACTATCTCTTGTCATAGCCAGCCTACATCTAGTTGTGTTCAGTTTGTGTGCTCCCTTAATGTTGTGATCATGCTGTTCCCCTCTGTTTTCATGCAGATGCAAGTTGGATTTTATATGAAGCAGGCAACTGAATATATATTGGTTGTATACTGTCAATATGTTAAGTTGCTTAAAGATGGGTTTACATGGCTGCGATCGTTTACTTCCAGTTACAATTCTTATTGCTTGTTTTTGTAGCTTCAGTATACGGATACACCCTGATGAGTGGCCCCAGAGTAAGATTCCATAATTTATATGACTATGGAATAATGAAAAGTATATTGTCATAAGGTACTTCTGCGTGATTTGATGTTTGAGTTTTCTGAGGAGAAAAATTACACGCCTTAGCCTAAGGCACACAGCATCGACGTGGGAGTCCCATTGTAACTTGGGATCCAAGACAAACCCTAATAGTTTTACTGGCTCATCATTTTATCAGTAAGTTCGGTTAGTTAGGTTAGGATAAGTTTTGACAGTTTAATTTTATAACAGAAAATGCTCATTTAGTCCATATCACAATCATAGAACTATAAAACAGAATAAGCCTCTGACAGGATCTGTGACGAACGACAACTACAATCGCATCGACAGTAGATGATGTCTTGATTCGATAGAATATCAAACGATTAACGATAGTCACGAAATCGCACGGTGTTTTTGACAAAAAAGTGCTCAGCCGTTAAATTATTCCCGCTGCATTGAGTTGTTTGAAACCAAAATGGCAGAATCTCTTCATGCGACCTGTGCCTATTGTCAGTAGGCCTACATAGACACATGGTCAAACAATCAAAAACATACAGACTAAAGGGCTACTTACAGTCTTCACAATCCTGATCAATTGAGCACTACGGCATTTATCAGGATTGCGAAGACTGTAAGTAGCCTTTATATATTTATTACACACAATCTGCCACACTGAATAATTAAACAAAAACAGTTCTATCGTAGCCTTACTAATATGAAATTGTGAGAAATATTAGTTTGATATAGACTACCTATGCTATGGTTTACCGTATCGTAAAACGTTATCAATAGTAGGTATCGAATTTGATCATTTAGCCATAGCTCAAAATATTGCTCTTATATATTTTGTGAGCCATACCCAGTTGCGTATCGAGGGAGGGGGCTGCCCCCCCCTGAATTTTTTTTTTTTTAGTTGCCCATGGGCCATGACGTTAAATGATGAATGTTGTTTCAAATCATAGCTATAAACACCCTGTACACATGGGAGTGTTGCAACTTGCGTCCTAGAAACAAAGTCAAATGAGTGTGTACACACTAGGACATCTAGTGTTTAGAGTAAAATCTACATCAGCAACCTGCTTCCTGGATAACCTCTTTTCTAAGTACAGAATTAATATCTTTCTAACATTACAATTTTTTAATTTGATGATTAGTATAGGGCCTACTACGATTTGTTATGCTATGGTGGTAATAAATGTGTAAAACTATTGAAATCGGGCAGAGTTTTAAGTCGTTTTAATGATAAATAGTTTATCTAACTTACATATAACATGTTCCTTAATTAATTAATCTTAATTTTTCTAGACTATTAACTGTACGATCAAAAGAATTATTTTATATTATTGATCAGGAGAAAATGCTTATTTGGATGCCTATATTAAATTACAATTTTATTCAGATCTGGAAAAAAGTTATTTATGAGGCTATTCTACTTTTGATAATCGTAAGTTTTTTGTACTAATATGTCAATTGCTTTAGATTTTATTGAACAATCTATCAAAAATTAAATAGTAAATTTCAAGAAACTAACAGAACTTAGTTATGATTAGCAACATAATAATAAATCACATGTTTTCATTTGTTGCAGGAGGCTATCAATTAACAATTGTTAAAAAAAAATATCTGATGGAGTCGTATACAAAAATTCTGCTAAAATCGGAATCGTAGAGACCACACCCCTTTACCTATAAAACAAAATAATGGTTTACTCCTTAAACCTTGCTCCCCTTAAAAAATAAATCATGGGTGTGCTGCTAGCATAGTGGCTAGCGTCTCGGGCTTTAGCTTGGAAGGGACAGTTTCAATTCCCAGCACATCCACAAATCGTTCTTTGGGTTTGGACCACATTTCCTAAAAGCATTTGAACGCTCTCTCTCATTCTCTACAGAAGGTCCTGTGAAAAAGCCACCGTCAAGAACAATAAAATGTCCTTTATGCCCAATAAAATTGAGTGTTTTTGTTCTTGGCAGAACTGTGTTGGTGTGTGTGTGTGGGAATTATTTTCAGCCTATATGTAAGAGAGGACATTTTTTCAATGTATTTTCACTTCAAAGCCTATTTGCTATATCTTTACTACAAGAAATAATTAGAAATACATGGTTTATATGTTGACTTGAATATTTCTTTTTCAGTTATGATAGCTACACAAGAAGAAATGGATAGCTTAAAAATGCCCATGAAATACAGGGACTATTGTGCACACAAATATATTGAATTCCAAAGATGCAGGAAAGCCAATTTTCCATGGGTTGCTGCCTGCGAGCATGAAAAGCACGAATACCATGACTGTGAATATGCTGAGTAAGTTTAATATTAAGAAATATAATGCTTCTAAAATGCATCATGAGATTGATGGTAACTTGTTTTTTTAAGTTTTTTAGTCTTAACGATCAATAATATTTGTTAGGCTAATACCTAAATTACAATGAAGAAAAGTATTAGCCCAAGAATGTGTAGGCCTACAGGTGCTACAAACACCAATGTTTAGTTTTTACAAAAGAAATGTCCTATAACACTTAAAACATATATTTATGCTTATGCTGTTACTCACAAGACGGTAAATATACAAAAAAGATTGTAAGTGGTAATCGATTTCGATTGGACACTCCAATCATCATCAGACCCAATAGGCGAATGACAAAAATCTTGAATGGCGCCCCCCTACTTATATCCTACCGGCGGCCAATACATTTTTATAATTTTATATAAGTACAACTGGAGTCGAAATTTACTTGTTCATTAATCAGCTTATTTTTATTTTGACATTTTTCCTTATAAATATACAATTATTCCCAATCATTCATTACATATCCTTTCTTACAATTCTTTAAAATACATAGACTATCCTCCATTTTTCCTATTGAGTGGCCATTTTGAACCAGGTGTTGTGTGCGATTTGATCTTTCCGGTTTGTTGTTCCTCCATGCAGATGTGTGGTTTTTGAAGCGTTTAACAAAGTTCACAGTCTGTCCAATGTAGAAGCTATCACAATTGTTACAATTGATTTTATAGATGCCCGAAGCGTTGAATTTGTTACAATTGATTTTATAGATGCCCGAAGCGTTGAATTTGTTACAATCTTCCATTTTTAACTATAACAGTTTGATTTTTTGTCTTTCTCGATCACGGCAAAACTCAAGAGCGTATCTTGCGGTTTTTTTGTTGCCGATAATTGTCTCCAGCGATCGCAGCAACTCTTTTGAGCATGCTTTGCAGTCTCGGCGATAGCGTAATCGTCTCTCGCAAATGGCAAAAACTTTTTTGATCATATATTTTGCGGTCTTGGTGATATCTTGATTGTCTCCCGCAATTGTGTTTTCGTTTGATATTTAAAACACCATTTTATGCTGTCAACAAAAAGAAGGCTCGGCCATATGCTGTTGGCGATTATTCTGGTTCATAGTAAAATTTAAGGCTAATGGTTTAATTACCTTCAGTCTCCAGTTAAAAATAAGTCGATTATTGCGACCTAGGTTTCAGCACGACGTTGTGCTATCATCAGGCTTCCAGTTGAAAATGTTCAGTCCATTGGACGTCGTTTGGTAAAAACAATACACACACACAACAAGACACAGTAAAGTCGTGTGTGTGTATTGTTTTTACCAAACGACGTCCAATGGACTGAACATTTTCAACTGGAAGCCTGATGATAGCACAATGTCGTGCTGAAAACTAGGTCGCAATAATCGACTTATTTTGAACTAGAGACTGAAGGTAATTAAACCATTATATTAGTTATAAACCAGTTCAGGGGCAATTCCACATCTTATGATGTCAAAACTAAAAAAATGTAAGGACTTTTTTACTTGCCATCAAAGTTCAAGTACCATTTATGGTTTCAGGTCGGACAACCTTTTAAATTTGGTTTTATCACACGTCTTGCCACTTTTTTCCCAACAGTTGAAAATTATTTGATGAAAGCATCTAAATACACATCTTCCTTGATGGATGCTTATTTTAAATCATCACTTACTTATGATGTAAAAGGGCTGCTATTTCATTGGCTTCAAATGAGCTGAAGTTGTTGTATCAAAAATAAGTCTACTTATGTTGTATCAAATTATAAAACATTAAAGTAGGCTTCATTAAAAAAAAAATTACAGTTCGGACCAATTTCAGTTACCCAACATGTCATAAATAAGGAAATAATCTAATAATAAACAATAAAATTCCAAAAAACTACTACTGAGCTTTTAAATGGAAATTGCTGAGATTTTTTTTTTTTATGGGCGGGGGGCTAAACCTTTGGCAGCTACAATATTGCTGGCCTGCCTTTTCCCAAAAATTTACTTTGTGGCCATTGAGTAAAAAAGTGTTGATAGTACAGTAAACCCCTCTTGATGTTGATTAACAAAACAGTTTTTCATTTACAAGGGGGAAACCGACTATTTTACCCAGACAGGGACAGTCAATCCAGGATTGGTTAATAAAGGTTTATTGTTGTATGAATACTCATAAAAATTAGGTTAGAAAGATTATAGTGATTACGCTCATGTTATAGACCAATTCTTTTTAATAATCAGAAATCAAGAATAATTTTCCTTTTCCTCTAAATTTGTTTATTTACAACCCAAGACAGAAATTAAGAAACAATTTAAAGTATTATGGCTTTACTTATAGATACATTGATCGGATGAAGGATTATGAGAGAGAACGACGTCTGATGGAAAGAGCAAAGAGAATTGCGAAAAAAGCCGAAGCAGCTTGAGCAAAAGGTGAGTATGTAAACTGTTAAAACTCATAATTTAGAAATTTCTGGCTGATAAAGATTTTAGGTCTTGAATCAGTGGGATGAATGGATTGACATTAGTTTGAACTTTAGGTTGTAAATGCAATAGCCTAGTTCCATTTTATAATTGATACATACACAACAAAAATAAAAAAATACTTACCAGTACTTTGAGTCAAAGTGATTTTTTGAAATTAAATATTCAGTGTTTTATGGTTGAGTTGCTTAAATCACCTTTTGGCTGCCTAGAATGAAATGTTGACATGTGAAAGATAATAATGGAACTTTTTCAGGCTATACAGACCTAGAATAGTTTGAAGGTCTTTAAAAGTGATTAATCTAATGTACACTTCTCTATATGATTACACATACTTTAGTAATTCAGGAAGCAAAATAGTGATGATTATTGATTAGCAAAAACTTATACTGCACCGGTACCATTAACAGAGGACCTCTACGTTTAGGTCAAGTATTTACATAGAGCACAAGTAAGCTCGTGACATCTAAGCTGGCACTTGGCCTAGCGCAGGCAGTGTAGGCGGGAGGAGGGTGGAGGTAGGGAAAAGACCAGACTGCAAACATTTCCGCTGCCTCACGGGGTTGACTCCCCTTGCATTATGTACTTGAGCGCCTTCATATGGGTCGCGAGGATAGTTGATGTAACCCGCATGAAGGGACATAATATTTTTGAAATAGTTACTAGTATCGACCGGCCAAATGCCAGCTTAGATGTCATGAGTTGTACATAGGTTTGAAGGATTTTGTATGGCTGCTTGGCTTACCTGAATGATAAAGAGTCCAAACAGGCACAAACACAATAACTACTATTATCTATGCACAGATACTATCATTTTTGTCCCAGCCCTGGCAGCATTTCCAATTATGGTTTGAGTTCCTGACCAAAGAATCTGACAGCAAAATATCTCATCCCTAATTATTAACAAACTGTATGATTTATTTTGTAAGATAAAAGTAATTTTTTTATGTTTCAGATTCTTCATCACCATTTACTTTTGTAGCTAAGAGGAACCATCTCTCTATGTAAATACTGATAATTTGTAGATTTCAAAATAAAGATTGCTGTTAACTATTACAAAAGGTGTTGCAAACTATTTCCCCAAGCATTTTTTTTGTAAACCTATTTTATAACCTCTTACTGTCAAAAGTGCCTCAAAGGTAGGTTTTGTGTAATTAGACACAATAGGTAACATTTTATTTATTGATAAATATGTATATAAGAAATGATTTTTCCTACCATCACCTGACAAAGCGGGTTTCGTTGCACTGAATACTACAGAAAGTTGCTAATTGCTGCATTTACTTACTTTTGCACACCAGTATTCCAACCAAACAACACAAAACAGCGTGCTTTTATTATGCAAGTAATCCGTGTACGCTTGAAAATAAGTTAAAGAAAATAACTCCCTAAGGGAGTATGCTTAATCTTTATGCTAAAACACACAAGAAGTGTTACTGTTATTAGTATACAACTGTTGATAAAAAAGTTTTCATTGTAGCATTTGGATATTTTGTTAAAATAAAATAGTAGCCTATGTTTGTTCAAAATAGTTTTTATTAAAATCATTACTTAAAAACAGATTTTAACAATTTTTACCTTAATATACCCTCATTTGGTTTTATTATTTTTAAGGTCTTACTTTAGGAAGTGTTGCATGACATCCAATGATATAAGTCGGTGTCATTTTGAGCTGTCTCATGATGTCCAATAAAACTATTTGACTGTTGTGTCCAAATCTCATCATGTCCAAAAGTACTATAACTGCTAGAAACATAGTTTTTCTAACTAACAAACTTCGGTTGTTGTGAGACAGCGCACTTTATACTCTAAACTAACCACGTCCAAAGTCCCTGCTAGTTGCACAACGTTTAATAGCTCAGCGTTGTTGCACGACATCCAGAGCTCCTGCATAAGGAGCAAGGTTAAGATTGGGTTAGGTTAGTGCGCACTTAAGATAGTAAAACAGTACTCATAGTGTGCAGGCGCTCGGGACAGCGCTGAGCTATTGGACATCGTGAAACAGGCTGCGGCTTTGGACAACCAATCCCATATGAGCTTGTAGAAAGACTATGTTTATTGCAGTTACTGTAAATTTGGACATGGTGAGATTTGAATGTTGTGCAAACAGTCAAATATTATATATTAGACGTTGTAAAACAGCTCAAAAATTATATTTTAGACGTTGTAAAACAGCTCAAAAATTATATTTTAGACGTCGCGATACTGATTTATATCAACGAAAGTCGTGCAATGCATTCTTACTTTAATATGAACCCTTTTAATATGTGTCAAGCTTACAAATGCAAACGATTGTCCACACGAAGTGCACTTGTAAGTTCTCTCTCCTGTATGAATCAATAAATGTCTCTTCATAGCGCATTTTGATGTGAAGGATTTTCCACATGTAATGGACTTATTAGGATGTTTACAGATATTTTTTTATTTATTTCCATGGCCATTTACCATTGATTTACATGACTCACGAATTTTACTAGAAAATTATAATATAACATACACACACAAATAATACTGCCTAGACAAGTTATTTCACAGAAAATACTGAAATATGTATTAACAGATAACAATTGAGTAATAAATTTTGCTTATACATGGTGGTGTTCAAAATAAGGAAGGAAGAAAGAAAACCCAGCCTCCTCCGTCCCCATAGCTGGCAAAGTTCTCTCTCCACTTTCTTTTAGCGAATTTAGTAGCTATTACCATAGGTCTCATTGTAAGACCTAGGCCCGGGACCGTTTTTTTTTTCATTTTGATGCTTGTAAACAAATAAAACTGTAATGTATTGAATTGTCGTACATTTGTGTAAAATCCTGAAAAATGCTACAATATTAGTCAGGGTTACGGCCGACTAGAGCATATAGAAAAGTCCCCTCAAATCCATCCATCCTTGTGGATTTCCATGACTGTTTGTCTATTTCCATGACTTTCAATGACCAGAATATTTTTCCATGACTATAATTGACTTTCCAGAATGTGGACACTACTTATAAGGTCTCTCTCCTGTATGAACAATTGCAATATGTGTCTTCTTATCCCTGTTACAAGCTAAGAATTTTCCAAATGTAAGGCATTTAAAAGATATCTATCCTGTATGGACCGTTGCAATATGTTTCTTCATATTGCTGTTAGAAGCAAAGGGTTTTCCACAGGGTTTGCACTTAAAAGGTCTCTCTCATCTATGAACCATTGCAATATGTTTCGTCATAACGCTTTTATAAGCAAAGGATTTTCCGCATGTAGCGCACTTATAAGGTCTCTCTCTTGTATGAACCAAAGAATGTCTCTTCATAACACTGTTAGACACAAAGGATTTTCCGCATGTAGTGCACTTATAAGGTCTCTCTCCTGAATGAACCAATGAATGTCTCTTCATAACGCTGTTAGACACAAAGGATTTGTCACATGTAGTGCACTTAAGTCTCTCTCCTGTATGAACTAAAGAATGTGTTTTCATTTTGTCTTTGGTTGTAAAGGATTTTCCACATGTAATGCACTTATAAGGTCTCTCTCCTGTATGAACCAAAGAATGTCTCTTCAAAACGCTGTTAGTCACAAAGGATTTGTCACATGTAGTGCACTTATGAGGTCTCTCTCCTGTGTGAACCAAAGAATGTATCTTCATAATGCTGTTAGACACAAAGGATCTGTCACATGTAGTGCACTTATGAGGTCTTCTTTCTGTATGAACTAAAGAATGTGTCTTCATGTTGTCATTGGTTTTAAAGGATTTTCCACATGTAGTGCACTTATAAGGTCTCTCTCCTGTATGAACCAAAGAATGTCTCTTCATATCGCTGTTAGACACAAAGGATTTGTCACATGTAGTGCACTTATGAGGCCTCTCTCCTGTATGAACCCATGAATGTCTCTTCATAACGTTGCTAGAGACAAAGGATTTGTCACATGTAGTGCACTTATGAGGTCTTCTTTCTGTATGAACCAAAGAATGTCTCTTCATAACGCTGTTAGACACAAAGGATCTGTCACATGTAGTACACTTATGAGGTCTTCTTTCTGTATGAACTAAAGAATGTGTCTTCATGTTGTCATTGGTTTTAAAGGATTTTCCACATGTAGTGCACTTATAAGGTCTCTCTCCTGTATGAACCAAAGAATGTCTCTTCATATCGCTGTTAGACACAAAGGATTTGTCACACGTAGTGCACTTATGAGGCCTCTCTCCTGTATGAACCCATGAATGTCTCTTCATAACGTTTCTAGAGACAAAGGATTTTCCACATGTAGTGCACTTATAAGGTCTCTCTTCTGTATGAACTAATGAATGTTTCTTCATTAATTCTTTGGCTGTAAAGCATTTTTCACATGCAGTACACTTATAATGACCTGTCCCAAAGTGTTTTAACAAATGCCTCTTTACTTCTGTTTGTTGGAAAAAGGTTTTCTGACATGCCAAACATTTAAAGGGCCGCTCTCCCGTGTGATACAATATATGAACCTTCATTTTGGATTGAGTTGAACAAATTTTCTCACATATTGGACACTTGAGAGGAAAATCTTTAGTGTGAGTTAACATTTTTACTCTTGCACTTTTTATCTCTGTGAAACTTATCACATGAATATAGTAACTAATCAGAAAAATCAGGCTATGAAAGGGATTTGTATGTATATTAAATAGTAACCTTCTTTGTAGGACTTCTTAAAATGTATAGCAGCTACGCTACATGATAGACTACCACTCTCATATAACATCGTATCGTATCTAATGTAGTCAAATCTTGCTATGCATATTATTAGTTATTTTACCATATACTTGAGGGAATTTTTCTTATCTTTCTGTATTCTTCTATTGAATTATATAATCAGTATAATCTCTTCGTTTGATTCCTTTCACTGTCTTAACCTGCAACAAAGATTTTCAATATCATTTAAATTCTAGTTTAACAAAAGGAATTTAATTTGTAAATGGGAAACACAATATTTTAAGCACTTCTTTCAAGTACATCAAGGATGTTTAATTAGTTTTCTTGTGATTGAACTTCTTATTTATAATTAAATTTCTTTCTGTTCTCGTGTTGATTTTGTTCACTTCTGAAAACGATCATAACTTATATAGAAACATTTATTAAATATGTTAAACAATTAGTAAATTTGCAATATTCTAAGAGTTTTTACAAGCTCTAGAATACCATAATGATTCTTGCTGTCATGTACACAATTGAAATTAAAATCCCGCTAATTAACACACCTTAAATCCAAACCACCAGTTGTTGAGAAAACTTTGTTGTATATAAAATAATAGAAAAACTATAGGGCCTCCAGGTGACCAAAAAACTGAGAACTGTACGTGATTACGGGAATTATGATGACAAGTAAAATAGATGTCTGGAAACAGTATGCTGATTTAGTTTGGAACTGGGCAATTTTGAATAACTGTAAACAAACATTCTATGGCCAAGTGTCCATTCATTAACAGCGGTCTTTTGGTTACCTTTTAGAGTTGATTAATAAGATTAATTTAAAGGGTACTATTGTTAAGTAATGAGTATGAATTTGAACAGAGAAGTGTTATTGGCCTCTAGGGACCTCTAAACAAAAAATTAAACTGGTCCCGGGTCTAGGTCTACCATACATCTGACTTAGGGTGATAGGTTACAGTATTCCTTATATGGGGAATTTGCTAAACGAGGGAAGATAACGAAAACCAGTACCGCATTTCCCATTAGGCCCACTAGGACCAGGCCTGGGGCGCAAAATTTTAGGGGGCACAAAACTTTAACCTCTTGAATGAATCCCACGTACGCCCCCGCTTGTCAGACCGGTAGCCCTGCTTCCAACCCGGCCACTGATGCACGGGCGCGTCCGAGTGTAGTTTGAATTTGCCGCGCTTAGTAAGCAAATCAAAGAAGAAGGAAGATTGCATTGTTTGGTACTGCCGCCGTGTTGGGAATAACCATGGAGATAAATAGATTATAGCTGGAGTCACTACTCTCTGGTTGAACATTAGAGAAAAACGTTCCACTGTTTTTGCTCGTTTGTTCTCGGTGTTTCGTGTTGTTAGGTTGGCCTTGTGATAGGTTGGTGGGATGCTGCCAAATTCAATTCATTCTAACCTATCCATGCTATTTATTTGTGGTTATCCGTTATTTGATGGACTTCAACTTATTTAAGTTATTGAATGTTAAAACTTGTGTACGGTATTTAAAGTTATTTTGAAACATTATGAATTGTTTTTATGCTAACTTATTTTCAAGCTACAGTAGAACCTCTTTAATCCGAACTAATTGGGACCGGGGGTAGTTCAGTTTATTGAATAGTTCGGATTACAGAACATATTGTTGTTTTTACATAACAAAGCTAGGGAAAAGTGAAAAGTGCTTTTTAAAGTAGAATACAGAATTTATACAATACAGTATTAAACATAAGGAATAAACAGTAGGCCTACTATACATTACAATTGAAATAACTATGGTGCGTATATAAATAAATACAGTATACATACAAGTAAGAACTACTGTACTGTGTATAGAGTACAGCAATGAGGCGTTCGGATTAGTGGACGTTCGGATTACAGTGGTTCGGATTAAAGAGGTTCTACTGTATGATTAATGGTGAAAATAGTCAAGTTTCCTGGTAATTATTTTTACTACGCCTAGTGTAATTATTTTTGTCAATGCCCTACAGGCCCACCTACTTATCTTTTATTGAACCATCGCTGTTGTATTTATGATCTTGTTAAAATGGGTTGCTCGTAAAGTAAATAAATAAACTTATTGCAATCATAATGTTGACATACTTGGTTTACTATCAACAAAACAACAGGATGCCTCTAATTTGACAAGTCCCACCAACTGATCACACGGCCAATCTAATAACACGAAACCTGAAAAAAACCAGCAAAAACAGTGGTACGTTTTTTAAACACAGAGTGGTGACTTCAGTTATCATTATAGCTCAGTAGGAATAACCTGCTCTTTTGCGTGTGATATTTAGTTTTTGGGTAGGCCTGGTCCCGACGACATCCCTGCAGCGGCTGCCAAAATTCAGCTGTGTAATTCTCTCCAGTTAACTTACCTGTTGAGTCGTTCTGTTTATATGCTTTGTTATGTTAGTAAACACTGTTGAATCGTGCCGGCATTTCGCTTAGAGATGATGAAATAGGGGAATAATTAGATAACGACAATTTAAATGGTGTTTCGGGACATGAATGTTGTCCATCATAAAGGTATTTTACGTGTTATTGTGTACAACACAATAAAACAATATGCTATTGTAAATGTTCCACTTCTACATTTTACAAGATTAAGATTTTCTGACGGGAAGTATTTATCATTGTTCAGTTAATCTCATTAGAGGTTTAGTATAGGGACAGGTCAAATGCCAATTACTGCGAAGTTTAATACAATGTTATACATTTTACAGGAGTTGATTTATTTAAAATATCAACGGATTATATTGTATATATAACTCAATAATAATGATCGTGACATTATTTACGTTTTGCGACCAATAATACGGCAGGGCAACTGTTTTGTGTGCCTAGGGACGCCGTTTGGCTAAATGCGGCCCTGACAAAAACTATATCAAGGTTGTCACTTTTCATTCAAGAGGTCCAAATTTTTACTTTAAGTACCTACCAAGGCCTTTCCAACAAAACTCTGCCCTACACACACAAGACCTAGCAAGAGACTCTTTTTGATTTAACTCTTAAGACCATATGCATTGATCGGAACAGCCATTGAACAGTCTACAAATATATTACGTCTTTTCTTAGTAATGATAATCTTACTAATATTATAAATGTGAAAGTTTGTGTGTTTGTTTGTGTGTTTGAAGTTCAATCACGCATAAACCACTGGACGGATTGGGCTGAAATTTGGCATGATGATAGCTTACATTCCCGATTAACATATAGGCATATTCTTATCTCAAAAATCCTTTCGGGCTCCGCCTGAGTGGCTCTGTAATTCCCCATGTTAACCTTATGAGTATTCATGAGCGCTAATTCATGATTCCCGCATGGTAAAGGGAATTAAAGGATTTAGTCAGCTGTTTCAACTAAAAAAAGTTGGTTCTATGATATAAAAAAGCATTAAAAATTTATAAGATTTACCAACAGGGTGCAGCACTATAATTATTTTTGCATTTATGAAAACAGGTTATTTGAACTGAGCAGCAACAAAAAACTGTGATTCATAATGAGAACTGTCAAAGTAGGATTGTTTACAGTTATGTTTATGTTTTTCATTTCATGAATAATTTGTGATATTTTGCGAATTGTTGATGATTTATTTTTCTCTATTGTTTAGGTGAAGTGGTAGAACATTATGGCTATGGTATATGTGTAATACTATAGAATACTGTAAATTTAAAAAAGTAAATTTTATCAAACTGTGTCCTCCCTTATTGCAAACGCAAAGCTTGAGTATAACTGCAATAAGCATTTTATACTTATATTCCAACCCCGTACGAAGGACGGGTACTCTGCTAGTAAGTAATAATACACAAATTTTACCTGTTTAAGGCTCGTAATAAACATAAGAGGTAGGCCTAACACTGAGATGGCCTACTCATTAGGTAATGCAGCTTGTGACCTGTAAACACAATTATGTTGATAACTTTTAAGGGTTCATCAGCAAAGGACTTATTATCACAGGCTTATAAATAAAATGACTTACAATTATTTTGTCTGTAAAAACCATGTTATGGATCTAGGCTAGCCTATGTTACATAAAGTTTGAGTTTTAACTAGGGATGGACGAGATTGGATTTTTAGTTCGAGACGAGACGAGACGGGATTTTTTATTTCTCATAAAATTTCGAGACGAGATCGAGACGGGATTTCCCTTCTCATACACAACGGGAAATGCACGTTCAAAATTTTTACCTGATTTTGTAACATTGTTAGATGACTGTTTAAATACAAAAATAATGATAATAGGCAAGAATATTTACAATCTTTTATTAAAAAACATCAGCATAACATTTTTTTATTTAATCACGCCTAACTTATTAAAAATGCCTACGATTAGGAAACATAGTGATATCAGTTAGGATAGAGTTCAACTTATCCTAAAATTAAATAAATCATAAAATAAAAGCAATATTAATTTTTATAAAATAGTTAGGTACTTATTTTGACTTTTTATAGTAACAAAACATTCCTCACACTGCTTACACTTAACAAAACTTCTCAAATGTTATTAAAGTAATATTATTAAAATAATTAAAGTAATATTTACATTTAAAGAATTAATTCAATAAGAACACCTTCGCAAAGGAAACGCAACCACAACACGCGCCAGTATTGCGGGTATTGCATTGACGTTCTGCAGGCGTTTTTAATTTTTTTTTTTTATTCTTGTCTTGATAAAAATCTCGGTCAAAAAGAAATCTCATCTCGTGTAACGAGATTTAAAATTTCCCGAAATTTTGAGACTTGATCATCCCTAGTTTTAACCCTGCTGGTCACTGTGACCTAGCCTACATATAGGACGATACAAACATATTTCTTGATTTCAGGAAAAATCTAACCTAATTTCCATTATCTTTGAATTCCCTGAGATACCAACCTACAAAACTATGCCTCCAATTAGAATACATTTGAAATACTATTGTTGCCAAACTTTGAGTTTCATAACATATTATATTTTTCCAAACTTACAACTTTTGATATTTTTTTATTAAAGCTAATAGCAATAAATGTTAATAGAATATTTTTTTGATTAGAGTGTATTTTTACACCCCTAGTAACACCATAGGCCTAGAGATGAGTCGATTATGACGAGTTTTACTAATCTCTGGTTGAATATTTAATGAAAAGCAAGCGTTCAAGATGCCCGCTTGTAGCATTGCTCAATGCTTGCAGCATTTTTGAAATCGTTATTTCATTGTGTTAAACCATAGCTGTCTCTAGTAATAAGGCCGCGGCCTTCGATGTGGCAACGCCGCGACTCATCCCTACCCTGGTCCAACTCCGGGTATTGCCACCAGCGTTAAAACGTGCAACATTTCGCCAAAACTGCGCTTATTCATGTTTAAAGCTATGAAAATGTAGCCAGATCAATCGATTAATTTTTAACATGAAATGCCGCTTACCATTTTTCGGATTGTATTACGAAATACCATAGACTAACCAACACAAGTAGACTTCTCATCCCATTGTAAATTTTGAAGCTCGTTTTTCATGTCTAGTTCATGTACGCCACACTGGGCGCTAGTGTCGACGAAATTTTGTTTCTATTATTTTAGGGTTAATTTCTTGATTTGTGCTTTACTGTTTGGTTAAATAACTAGGGGACAATATATTGTTTATGATTAGATCGTATTATTTGGTTAAACGAGGTTTTAAATGACTGTATTAACGGGAAACAAATTGTTAACAAAACACGACCTCTACAGTGCACCGTACAGAACTAACAATAAAATTGTCTTCAGCTGTTCCATTAGGATGAGAAATCTACTAAGGGAGTATGTTTTATCTATGGAAATACTAATTAATAGGCCTACATGATAATATAAACGTATATCCACCACTTAATTCCAACCCTGAATATATGTTGCGCATAATGCACAAGCGATATACATTTGTAACAAAAACGTAACCATTTTGGAACCTAATGAGTTATGAAAATATATACTTTTACAAATAGGCCTAGGTTCCCTTAAAATTCTTTTTAATTTTATTATGAACTGGTCGTCTAGTGGTCGAAAACTCGACCAAAAATATGTAATTTTCAGACTTATCTATTAACCTACGTTGTAAATTAAACATTTTATTGGAATTTCTTTTATTTGATTTGATATTCTGTTCATTTCTTTGTAATTTTGTCACCAGCATGGCAGCCCATGTGATTTTTTTGTCTATTTACATTTATAAAGGGATTCTGCACATCTAAAGGAAAATATCTTTCTAATAGTATGCGTATATTTTCTCTGCGTTGCACACAAGCTGAGAAAAAAGGGTTTAAACACGCTTGCCTATTAATATATGGGTGATATTATAATTTTAAACTTAGTTTCGAGATATGCAAAGCTGTTTTATATTTCAAAATTTTGTCATTGAATGTTCATGCAGAACTGTACTAAGATAGAAGAAATATTGCTACACCTCTGACTAAATGCATAGGAAATGTATGCAATACATGTATAATAAAATGTACAAAACACAACTGAGCAAGACTTTGAAAACATCTTGCCTATTTAAAATATTTCAAATTATCTGTATCAATAGTGTATTGATTTTTCATTTTGATAATACATAAGAGGTACAAAAACTGTTTGTTTATACTATTACTATTAATATTTTAGTTTTACATTTTTTATCTAATATGATTTTATTTAGTTTTAATAAAGTAGGAAATGTGTATATTTTCTTAATCAGAACGTGGTACTTGATTAAGTTTAAATTTAGGCTATAGCTCTAATCCACTCATCTTGATGCGGACCTTCTAAAGGGAAGTGAAATAATTGTATATACTCCTCAGTTTTTAATGCTTTTAGGTGGTTATTTTTACACCCCGGCACGACACACTTTTGAGGCATAACACACTGTCACTACGAATACTATATTGTCTCTAATTGTGTAAAACAAACAGGTTAATCACCGGTGATGCGCCGTCTATCTGTGCAAACTAATGGCGGGAGCCGGGTGGACTATGCCTCGGATGCGACGTTGCCAGCTACGGAAGCGCTCGCCGCGGCCTTATACTAGAGATGGCTATGGTTAAACACACTATTTTAATTGCACAACAACTGCCTGTGTGTAATATAAATTATCAACTCAGTTCACTATAATCTACACTTTACCTTTCTAACCTAACCTAACTTCAAAACACTTAATACAGTCACGAATCCGCATAAGCCTGACTTGCCTTCCACACATGCCTAAATAAAATCATTCTGAAATAAGTTATTCAGTGCCGTGTTGTTTCTTCGCTATGACTTGATTGACTTATTTTTATTCTCTTATCCTCAATTTCGTATTTTCATTTTCATTTCAGGTTCAGTATAGTTCTACAAGTAACAGTTAGTCCGTTCCGTAATTCCTAATGCGGCAAGCAGTAGCAGACTAGAATAGAAGGTAGATAACTTAAAGGAAATCAAAACGACAAATTATCTTAAGTTACCTTAGTTAATATTCGTGGCCTCGGAGACATTTTTGCACTGTTATTTCCTGGTAGAAAGTGAGTCTTCTACTTTAATTACTTACAATTAACGTAATATATCAAGTATCTGGAGAAAACATTTCATAGGCTTATAAATAGGTTCTAAGGTCAAAAAAACAAAGTAGGCCCTACCCTACCGGTAAATAAAACTTAAAACAGCCGTAACTCCGTTAATATTTGAGAGCGCGGAAAAATTTTCGCACCATTATTTTCAGCTAGAAATGGTCACGTTCGTCGCAATAAATACCAAAAGTAAATATCGGAGGAAAATGTACTAATATAATAAATACGCTATTAACAAAAATACTTATTGTAGAATATCGATACCAAAAATATATCGGCACCTAGACAACTACCGATGGTAAAAACATCAACTATCGGCCTCCAAACATTGATATTTGCAATAACTATTATAGCCTACTACTGCTATTATATTGACTATCGATACCCAACACTAATTAAAAGCGTTAAGTTATTAAGATCAACCAGTAACAGTGAGTGTTTTGGAACATAGGCCTATTGAAGCTTGAACAATGTAAAATCATTTATTTTTCATTTTATCATTAATATTAAACGATAAATACTTACACTTACTGCCTACAGAATGAAGTTAAGAATGCATGTTGATTTTTGATTTGAACAAGTATAATGATTTATCACATTTTCAGCACTATTCAACGATTGCTAACCAAACTTTGATGTTTACTTTACTTAAATATTGCATTTAAAGTTTTAACTATTTATATTGAATTAAAAGATTAACAATTTGTGGGTTCGAGATTAGCTCTGCCTATTCCTGATTCCTTTCCTTTCCTCTTTACTGTCTTCCTGAATCCTGACTCCTTAGTTATTGTTTATGTTTTTGATTGAGCTTTGAGGAGGGAGTCAATTAATTAGGTGGCAAGAAGAAGTTTGAGTCGTCTGCACTTGCAAAATTGTTCAACAACTCTAGTTTCCATGTAGCTTTGACATCTATGTTGAAAGACTAACTCAAGAGTTAATCCACGGCCACCTTTAATGGTGCGCTCCACTACACGGCCACCTTTAACTACAGGCCGCGGCCTGGTAGAATTGGCAACGTTGCAAAGTGGTGTTGTTTAGTGTCAAACGTCCTATAAGATAATATGGCAGAGAGGTGACATCAGCTCATTAATTCGCACTTTATTGATCTAAATGGCTGCACTTTACTTGACGTCCTACACTCATTCGATTGTTTTTCGATTCGATATTTTCATTCAATTGTTTCATTCGATATATCGTTTGGTTAGTTAGGTCAGGTTAACCTTACCTAACTAACCAAACGATATATCGAATGAAGCAATCGATATATCGATCGATATTTTCATTCGAATGAGTGTAGGACGTCAAGTAAAGTGCAGCCGATTTAAATATTTATAAAAATAAATTTATTAAAATATTTAAAATAACACATACGTAATTGAAAACCGAAACAATTAATGAAAAATCTATATTATCTGTATATTATAAGCGGAGTCAATATTGTCGTAGTTCAGTAACCAATATTTCGTAAATACACAAATACCATTTTAGCTGCTTCCAAACAAAACAGCTGTTACAACACCACTTGCGACGTTGCCACTTCGAAGGCCGCGGCCTGGATAAAGGCGACCGTGTCTACCATCTACCTCAGCTCGGGCTTCAGTTGTTGCACCATTGGACAATGCCGCGAGAAGCGCAGGCATGAAGCTGTGTTTGTTGGTACTGTAGTGAAAAAATCACGGGCAATCTAGTGTTGGTGAAATGTGCTTGTCTACACAGATTTAAACTAGATTACTATGACAATGAAATTAGTTCAGCATTAAATAATTACTTTATACATATCAATGGTAAGGAAAAGAAAATCAATTGTTACACTTCACATTCCTCAACAAAAACCCAATTGAAATCTATACTTATTTAATACGCAAGCATGATTTTTGTGACAATTACTCCTCCGAAACTACTGAACCGATTGACATGTTTTTGATGTCATTGGAAAGAGTGTAACGTGAAGTTGTGCAGGAAACTTTCTTTTTAGGGAAATAATCAGAGAGTAAGGCCCTGGGGCCCTTTAAAGTTTCATATTTCTCCATAAGATTAACATGGGAAACAAAAATTGTTATGCAACTCCAGCTGTTGTCAAAAATTAAAAGTGAGAAGAAAACCATATGTTAATTTTAAACGGTCAATAAGTTTGCTAATTTTACAGTTTTCTACAAACATTTACTGACTTGGTTGAAATGAAATATTTACTACTGTATTTGTATTCGGGTTGGCGTAAATATTACAATGGCAAAAAGCGAGAGAGCCTGGATAAATTGATATATTCTGTTATGTACATCTTGAATTTTTCCATAATCTTTGGATCGAATCCTTTAAAGTCATCAGAAATTATGCACGTTATTCCTTTTAAAATAACGCCTCCAATACTTAGAAATTGCTCGAATTAGAGCAACAGGGACACTAGTATTAAAAAAAGTACAACTACAAAATTGTTAAACCAATTCAAAATAAAAAATTTCTCAGGTTCTTAGATCTCTATACAGTAATTGCAGCCTCCAAATAACATTCAACCATAAAACCTTTATCTTAAAATATTTCACCAAAACGTACAATATCTGTCATCACGATTAAATATCTTAAGAATTAACTTGGAAGAATATTAAAGCCAGATATGCCTTATCTGAGCATAAAATGAATGAATCTGAAATCCTCTTTCTGAGTATTGAGGGATACAAAATTGCTCTTTTACAAGAAACTGTTCCTTAGGAGGGGGAGTTTTAATACTAGTAAAACGATAGTAAAATCATTAAAAAAAGGAAAAATATAAAAATGCCTGCTTCAAAACCTTGTAATGAGAAAGGACTCTGAATGTTGTATGTATGAGATTAATGTTCGTAACTTTACAAACTTCATGAATTTACAAAAGCCTAAAAGTAGTTTGACAAACGAGACTTATTTAAAAATTTTTAAATTCATTTTTTGGGCTTATTTTTGAGCCTATTTTAATTTATAAAGGGATTTGGCACATCTACAGGGAAATATCTTTTATTTGTTACCAACCGTGTGTAATTCGGTCCAGTGGTATAGTCAGGCTAGCTGTCATAAGTTTTGCAAAAGTTTTTTAGTAGCTTATATAAGATTATTTATTATTAATTTGGTTGGTTACATGAATTATTAACTGATAAAACTGGCTTGAATGCTTCACCAGCTTCTGATTATTCTTGGCAAACATTTTGGATTCATTACATTATGAGTCACATGACTGAGGTGGAAATTAAATGAAATAACAAACAACTCGGCATTATTAAAACAAATCTTTAATAACTTTTTTTATATACATATAACTTATGTATACTGGAGAATTCCCATGGTCTTATTTGAGAAATTTCTTGATGTAATGCCCTGCAGTACTTTTACATCTGTGGGTAATATTATGTTTAGTTTTTTTAAATTTGTTTCTTGTCCCCATAAAAGAGGGAGCATGCAAATAAAAACAATTCAAATGTGTATTAAGAAACAAAAATCCAATCAACAAAACATTAGAATTAGCAAACCCTTTTGTGAGAGTTTAATTTTGTGAACTTTAATTTTTACCGATTCACAACTATTAAAAAGACCCTCACAACATGTATTTGTAAAATTCATATCAAGCATATCCATAACATTCTTCGCTGATACACTCGGAACCAAAAACACTGTTTGCAGGTGCAAATAAATTCGAAACTGAAACAAGAAATAGGATAAGAAAAAAAAAACAACCTCTTGCGGTATTAAACGTATCAAAACATAATTGAGCAGTTCAGTAGTCGTCTCCGCGGCTGATCACTTCTTTACAAGTGGGACGTAGGACAATGGTATGTTCAAACTGCGCAGTGTAACAGCCCTTGATGTCACAGAGAGGGGGGTATGACTCAACGATGCCTGGAAAATTAACCAACTGTTAGCATTGCCAAGACTTAAATCATGTACTACATTTTACATCAAAATGCTTCGTACGGGTCGGCTAGTATATCTACAAAACAAAAAATACATTTTTAAAAACTGAAGTCAGCCTAAAAATCTATTCTTTGTTTGAAGTTCATTGTTGGTGATGGTGAGTTAATGTTGTTTTAAGGTTTATTGCGGACATTTTCCATCACGATGGTAAAAACAATACACAATGTTTCGGGATCTGAAATCTGATCCCGTCATCGGGTGAAAAACTTAACTAACACATTACAAAATAACAATACACAAAAGTCCAACCTAAGTTGGAATACACTTCAGAGAGTAGCAGTCAACAGTATACAGTGCATATTTTTTTTACTGCTACTTTCTGTAGTGTATTTCAACTTAGGTTGGGCATTTGTGTATGGTTAGTTGTAATGTGTTAGTTAGGTTTTTCAACTGAGAACGGGATCAGATTACCACCAATTAAATATCGGCGGTAGTCCCAACTAAATTTCTCAAAAAATTTTCATAAAAATGCATGTGGTAACTTTTCAAAATTCATCCAATGTTGGGAAAAGCCGCTAAATCACAATTTTAGGGGTTTTCCCGTGGATTGACTTTGGCCAACATTTAGTAAGTCACTTTGCACATCCAATACTACAAAATAAAACCATAAAACGTTTTATTGCAATTTTGTTAAGGTCATATCCTATATTTCTCTGGGAAATTTTTAGTTTTTTTTTATTATGTACATATTATTGTGATTAAGCCAGTGTTTTTTTTTCTCTTAGTCAGTCTGACACGTGGGACATGTAGTTTAAAAGAATATTAAATCAATTTATTTTTCCTACAGTCACCCAACAAAGTTGGCTTCCTTGTACTGTTTATAGTACAGAAAGCTGCTAATTGCTGCATATTTATACTTTGTCGTACGGTTTATACTTTGGCGCACATCAGGATTCCAACGAAACAACACAAAAAAGCATGGTTCTATTATGCACGTAATCCGTGTACGCTTGGAAATAAGTTGGCAACACTTAAAGATAATAATACTATGAGCAGCTGATTGACTATTATAACTATGATTTAACCTGTCATTTCGTGTTTATAGTTTCGGTATTTCTGGACTTTTCTTTTAAACGTTTTTAAAACATTCCTACGATCTTAATAAACAAGAAAATACCTTTAAAGCATTTCTTTTTTTTTGGCGCAGAAACCACTTTAAATTACAAAAACATACGGAACTATATTCTCAAGTCGCGGAGCACATTTCTTGCCGAGGAAAAATAGCGGAGTGATACGGACCGGGTACTACTTTCTCTAGAGCACCTATTTGTGTTGCCAGCTGAACCTAAAAACGTGTTGTATAGTGTTTGAAAGACTAATTATTTATATGCTTTATAGTGACTGTACAAAAAATATAATGTGTAACACGAGGGCAAAAGGCCTTTGCTGCACTCGAGATCATTCCGAGATCATCACTCGAGTAAACATTGCTCTAGTGTGCAGCAAAGTCCCACTTTGCCCACTAGAAACACAAATAACTATTTTTCATGTATTGTATTGAGCATTATCTTGTAATTTAATTACTGTAATACTTGTATTACTGGGAGAAAAAAATATTTTTATTCTTATACTTAGGCCTAATCCAAGTTAAAACTGTAGAAGGTTCCACGTTTATAAGTAGAATCTTGGTTTTCGGGATATAGCCAAATTGTAAAACTGGCAACAATACTAGTAACCGTTTCAGATGAGTTCAACCAACAATTCATCCAACTGTTTAAGTCGATTCAGATTAGGATAGCGATTGTTGTTTGAATTAAATTAGC